TTTGTACCATATTATCTGGTCAGTTGAGTCGTTTATAATACAGTCTTTGAAATGTTAGCCAGGGTCAATCTTTCACTGACAAACTCATCCAAGAGAGTTTGGCTTTTCATGTGGTCTATTTTTTACTTGTTAGACCTTGTCTCTTGTCTACTCTCACCTTAGAGTATGTCTCTCTAGTGTTTTCTCTTCTATTTCCCTCTCTGATTTGGCTACTCTATGCAATTGTCATTTTCTAACTCAGATTGTAACTTGAGCAGGTTGCTTTTCTCATGTCTCACTTGACCTGTTGTATCAATCTTAGCCTCTTCTACTTCTTGAAACACATACTAGTCTACTTGGGCTAGTAAAGCATTGGTGCAGAAGTAAAAGATAGTACAAGTAGAATGAAACTGAACAGGAGAATAGATTTAATTGAAAAGTATGCCCATAGCAGATCCCAGTAAGAAAAGGCATATGAATGCTTTTTCTGTCATGTATCCATAATGCAATTTTTAATTTTAATTAAATATTTTAAATCAAAATGGTTTTTGTAATTATTTTTGCTAAGCCATATTAAAGAATCTGACAGAGGAACATTTCAGGTGACATCCTTCATGAACAGTTGCCAAAGTTTTTGTGATTCCCAAATTCTGTTATGCAACTCCTAATGGGATTGTGAGCCATAGTTTAAGAAGTTCTGATCTAGACTTCTCCCATTTTCCTGTATCCTAACTTTAATGAATCTTAGCCATTCACTGTTTATCACAAACAATTAATAAAAATACTTTTGTTTTTTCTAGTTTTGAGTTTCATTATTGTTTACATAAAATATGTTCTATTAGTATAAATATATTGTTTTACATAATTAAAAATATTTAAAAAGTTACCTGAAACTGAAGTATTTCTGTTTCACAAAATCCAATTGACTTATTTTGCCTCTGATTTCTGCTTCGGCTTCCATCTTTTCGCGTGTTGTCTGCGCAAGTTCCGTTCGACTATTACTCAGTTTGTGACGTCATATATATAGTCCATCATTGCGCATGATCAGTCTAAAAATCAAATGAATATCGGGCAATTTAACGAGATCTAAATAGCGTTATAATTGCTGATATAATGCCACTATAGCAACATTTGCGCTGACTTTTTTTCGTCCGAAATATTTTTTGAATTTAGGAGCCAGTTTTTTTGACCCGGTATGTATATTTGCTATATTTTCAGGATTATTACCTGTATTATTCTAAGAACAGGTTTATCAAAATTATTCTTACAAGTCTTCGTTCCAAAATTGCATTTTTTTTTTCCTTCGGTTATTCTTAATTCCGAACGATGCTAGAATAACCTTACTAACTGATATGCCAAACTTTTTATAGCTTCTGTGTCCAAAAATGTAATTATTTCACAACGAAATTCGCAGAGAACTCGTTTAAAGCAATAATCTATTAAAATCGATAACTAGTTTTAAGAATTTTAAAATTAATTATAAAAAAAATTATGAAGCACTTTTTAAGAATTTAGAANTGAAACATATTCCACAGTTTTTACATATTTTTAGTTTTGAGATCTCTAGACAAAGATCTTTCAAAAAGTCTAATGAAAACATAAAAGAATTTCAAATTATTTCTTAGTTAATAATAATAATGATTTTGGAAAGTTTGTATTTTATCTTTAATCTATTCTATCCATCAGTTATCAACCATACAAACATATGCAGAGGATAAAACGTAAATTGAGTTATTAATCGTTTTTTAGAAATAACAAATTAAAATAATATTAATATAAATATCTAACGTATTATTTCAATTTACTCGCTTTTCCTCATTAAATATTTTTCATGTTTCGTACCATGATTATTACCAAGTCATAAGTACCAAGTTACTTATGAAGTTCGCTATTACATTGCTTTTCATCTGATATCTTTCCTGCATTGCTCGTTACATTAATGGAAATTTAAATAATTATTTAATTGTACTAAACTTTCTGTACCCTAATCGTATAAAAATATATTCAACAAAGGAAAGACCGGTTTAAAATATTTTTGTCGGTATACTTCCACTTGCGTGTTTTTAATGAATAACTGTTTATTTCATCAACTTTACTAATGTTTATATAAATATGTAATTTTTAAAATGACTGATTCGTTTCTTAGGTACGAAGTTTCCGATGACGACGACATGTTAACGGCTCAACACTTCAAAATGGTTTCGGTCAATACGCGTAGTAGTTCGGAAGACGAAGCAGAAGGAATAGCAGCGTAGGATTTATCGACACGAATTATTTTCATAAACAGTATTCCACACTCATTTCGTTTATCCGCCGAGTTTTATTAACATAAATTATTTGTATTCCGTATTCTTGTCTGTATATTGTTTGTATTATATTGAATTGCGATAAAAATGTATCGCTTAGTGGAAAATCGAGATCGTGCATTTTTTATAACATCTTTTATTTTTGTTACGATTAATTATACATAATTTATGCGTAAAACATTTTTTTAAAATAACCTTAGTATCGCAATATTTATGTTAGGTACAAATTTGGTATTTTAATAGCATTTATTCTCTACCAAGTTTGTAACATCCCACCATTTTTCTCTCAGGTCGACGTACGAACTTCGTTGCGCTCGCAATACTGCCATTATTTTTTACACGCCAGGTTTTCTCCTTGCGCTCGTATTTATTATTTACATAATCTATCGGTTATCGTTGATCGTGTTTTTATCATTATGCGACACGGGTATCGTACCGAATGAAGATGCGTCAGCATCGTCCAATATTTGGGTCCTCCTTGTACAGAATCATAATAATGCTCACAAAGCGTATAGATTTGGGAGATAATCCCGACACTCGAGTTGTTTTTCCTATAATTATTATTTTGTAATAACTATGTTATTATGTTATTAATAGTTTATGTGTGTGCCATGTGTACAGTTTTCATTTGTGTAAAAAGAAATGTTTGTCATTTATTTCATCTGTGAATATTTTTAAATGATTAACCATTTTATATAAGAGAATGCGAGTACGTTTTGTATAGTCCATAATTATGTACATTTTTTAATAGAGTGTCGATAACTAAATACTGCCGAACCAAAATTTCACGGTAATACTGTGAGAAATGAATACGAAAAATTATAAACATAACAATGCGTTAAAACAAGACCATGGGTACGGTTCAGAATTCTTTACTAATCAGAGATTTATTCCATTCCATTTTTAGTATATTAATTATATCCAAATATTTCTAATAGCTATAAAAGTGATATTAGTAACAACTTATTTTTAAAACAATGTTTTTCCTCTTGTTGTAAATGAAATTTGTCAAATACTGATACTGTAATTCGGGATCGTCTTCCAGTTTTACAAAAATGCAAGAATATCTCTGGATTCGATCACACTCACATATTTACCAAGTATAACTAATCTTATTTTGTATAAAATTATACATTTTGTGATATTTAATAGCATCGAATGTAAAAACATTGTGTTTTTTAAAACGATATACAATATGTTTCTTTTAAAATTTTCAAATAATAATTGATCTGTAAATGAATTTTTATGCAGTATAATGTAACTAAATAAAAATTGTAAATTTAGCGATTTTTTTCTATTGTATTCATACGTTCAAAAGTTTCAAAATAAAACACCTGTAGACATATTTTAATTAAAACAATGCATCTGATGTTTGTTTCGTCTTATGGATACTGTACTAAGGTGTTTATTCCATACTCAACGTGGATTCGGCCAAGCTCACAATGGAGCAGCCGGGTATGAGGGATAGGGACCTCACGGAAATTTTTAGAAAAACAATATAGAGGAGAAGGTGATATTATGGAACCCCAATTACATTTTAGTGAATTGTAAACGAGGTATCATAACTACACACACATTTTTTGTGCAAAAAGTACTTGTAACTATTAAACTAAATGTTCCTAATTGGATTTTTCGCTAGTGTAACTATAAGTATGGTTTTTGAAGGCTTTTGTATAAAAAGTCAGAAAGTAGGCTTAGAGAAAATCGGGTGGTAATACGGAACCTTACTGTATATTTTCAAAAAAATGCTTTAACGTAGCCAAAAACAAATAGGAAAGTACAAAGAATGTTAAATAATTACAAAATCATTTACTCCAATGTATTTTAACGCAAAAATGATTTAATAATAATAATAATAATAAAGAAATGTAGAAAGAAGAAGCTAATCATTTACAAAAATCACAAATATAATGCTCCGTTTCAACATCAGCACAATCTTTATGCGCCCACATAGCGCACATTAGGCATTGCACCCACACCTTCCCAAGACTATCATCTGCGAACAGACAAGCAGTGCCATCTTTAAAACCAGGCAAGTCAAAAGGAGAGTCATCATCACTTCAATATTGGCACAAGAACAGTATGCCCATTTATCACAACTGCATTTATTGTTATTTTTCAAATAAATAAACATAAAAGTTTAAACTTACCTGTAGACTATTTACTTTACCAGACGATACCGTCACTTCGGGCATGCTCAGTTTCGCTATTTTGTAAGCAGACGATATTTTTTTTCATAAAAAAAAAACATTTATTTCGATTGTTATCTTACATTTTATTTCTTGTTAAGATAGTATTTAAATTTAAAAAATGTTTTCATAAATAAAAAACGTAAAAACATTATTTTATGGTTTGAATTTGTTGGTAATACTGAACACGGGGGGAGTTGGGTTCCATATTAAAAGCACCAATGGGGTCCATATTTCACGCATCTCCGTCTTGGGTTAACTTAATTCCTGTCGGCACCAAACTTTAAAAACGTGAAAATCGCACAGATTAATATGTACCCCTAAGTCTCTGGAACGGAATACATGCACCAGTGAACCTACAACTACACGATTTATATTTTAAAAATAATTAAATTCACTTGGCATTCAAAACTTGCGAATTTTGAAAAAAAAAAAAAAAAACAAATTTGCTGATTAAATACGGACAACCGTTTAACTGAAGTAAAACGGGTTTTCCCCTCGCTATGGATGTCTGCCTAGTTCAGTTCAGCCACAATCTGCTACAGTTCGCCTTTATTATCAGTTCGAAATGGGGTGGTTCCATAATACCTGCAGTGTTCCATAATACCACCTTCTCTATACGAAAATTCATTTATGCCGATTGATTCCCTGGTATTTGTAAATACAAATTTTAAAAAATTTTCAACTATAATTTTGAAAAGAGAGATGCAATTGAACATGATTAATTTTAATGATCAATCGCATAGTTAAAAAGTAAAAAATGCCTCATATTCTTGCAGTTAGAATAACAATAGAATTATGAAGGATTGTTGGTGAAAACATAGTTATAAAGGAGTGTAAGAAATGAGTTACCAAGAGTTTTCGACGGATCTAGGGTTTTTCAGTTTCGATCGACTTTACACTCGATCTAAAACTTCACGAGTCCGAAGTCCGTATATTTTAACTGCATTAAATAGAAATATTTAGTCGTCGATCGTCGAAGCATTATTAATAAAGATAACCTGCTAATTGTATTTTATCTTTACTAATTTGTAAAGATAAAATACGACCTTCAGGTTTAGTCTAAATACAACTAGCTTAGTTTTGTTATCGTATGTACAATACTGTTGTTATAGATTACGGTATGTGCCGTTTTATGTCATAGTGAACGGTCTTCGTTAAGCCGGAATGCTTACATTTCTGTATCGCGCAAGAGCGAAACTACATTCGTTAATATGGCGTTACGAAATTTTTCATTCGCGATCACGTGGGAGGCAGCCTGTAAAAGTGAAATTTCAAGTTATAAGACTATATAAAATAAAGATTGTAAGGTAAGCAATTGGAGTAGCAGTACAACAGAGCCAATAAGATGTACAGTAATAATCGAAGATTACAAATTAACATAATGAAACAGAAATTGTAATGAAGTTAAGACCAGTTCTCACACTATCAGTGAAAAAAAAGATTTTTCAAATAGCTTTCCTAATATCTTATTTTTGTCTTTATTCGCTTTGTTAATTAATAGTCTTTCCACGGATGGAGAGGTTGCTTTGTACCTGCAGAAAGACTATTATGGCTATATAATTTTGCGCTTCTCATACAATCGAGGGAAATTTTCCGCATCTTAAACCAGAATTTCAGTGAATTCAAAGACATCGCTGTTACTAGTTCGGCCAAGTGTAGCCTATACTCAGTTCATCACCACCAGCTATTTTTTAAATTCTGCCAAGAGCTAATTCCTTGTGGTAGCATCAAAAATCAAAATGATTATTTCTTTTAGGCCTAAAAGCTTATCTAAGTCAGAGAATGGAGTGTCTGCATGATCCATCTTATGTTTCAGATGGCTTTGCCACGCGCTGCTGAATCATTAAAATATAACTTTTCGAATTTATGATCAAAGTGTGCGAAAGCAATTGGGAGACAGACTTCTACGTTTTCAAATCACTTGTTTATATTATTTAAAGAATATATTTTGCAAATGGTGTTGTCTGTTTTAAAGATGTAACGTCTATTTGTTTTACACAACAAGTTATCATCGAATCACGTTTCATCACATAGCTCTTTGATCATATACTCAGTGGGTTTAAAAAGGCCGCGGAGTGCATCGAGCAATAACAAGCATCATTAATTTTATAACTGTTCGCGTTCTCAATACTCTGGGTGGCTCAATGACGATCAAGTATTTATACTTTCTGTATGCTCATATAAAACGAGTTGCATAACTTTCCCGTCAAAAAACTTAACATTATGTGTAGAGCCATCTGTTATGACAGTTTATTTAAAACTTTTTATATTATTAATTATTATAAAATGGCAAAAAGCTTAATTTTGAGGGTAAAGATGAGTTTTATATAAAATTGTAAAATCGTCATTAATTCCATCCTCATTCTGTTATTTATAACAGCCGGAAAAATAAAGTTACTGTAATAATAGTGATCAGACGTCCCCAATTAACCGAGATAGTCCCGGTCTTTGGTTCTTTGGTGTCCCGGCTTGGACATATTAGCAACGAAACCTCGCACCCTATATTTTCTACCTTCAATTACCAGAGTCCCGAGTTGAAGTTCAGAAAATCTAGTCACTTTATATAATAAGAAAGCATTTTTTATTGTTTATTTCTATTGTAACACGTGAAATCGATGTATCAAATTTCTGGATGTAATTTGGTACGTCCAGAAATCTAGATAAAGTTTCATCATTTGGCACTTGCGAACACTTTGACCATGAATGAATACGATAGATTACACTGTCGTTATCGGTTAGGATTCTGTTGTTGTAGACGCAATTCGAACACAGTTTTGCTTGTAAGAAAAGATCTATCAAACAGTGGAATAATTTAAAGATCCAAAAGATTTTCATAGTCGTTACGAGATTCGAAAATCTTGTTTGGAGTTACTTCTATGGGCGAATAAATTCCGTCGATAACAAGCATTTCCGTTCGTTGTAATCTTTATTTCCGCGGAAAATCGATCGGCGTGATTTGTTTTTACAAACGATCGTCGTTTCATTCGATTTCGCAAAGTAGAAAGAGACGATTAATAATCTCGTGTCGATCGAAACGATAAGCATCTATTCGTCTCAGCATCGTAGTATCCGGTCGAGAGAATCAGAAGTGATCTACTGAGATTGTGACGAAATTGTCGTCGACACTGCTCTCGGTTTTTCCGTCTTCGTGATCCAGAGTCACGTTGCGCCATTCTATCGGTCGACCTGAAAAAAACAATGTTTTAATGAACTATTCCCGATCATCGATGGTTACTTTTTTAAATTCTTGACACGTTTTCCTAACTTTGAAATTCGAAGAAATGAACTACGGTAATAAATGTTTTCGAAATTCATTAGTCCAGTTTTTGATTGAACAAGTTCATAATTACGCTTATGTATTATACTCGCGCTACTGGTGTCTATTTCGTTCACATAAGTATGGACGATTGCCCGGAGTACCAAATCGCAAACAACGATTTTTTACTCTCGATTAGAACGAGACAATGATGTGTAAATCATTTAAAAATTTGTACAAAAATTATTTAATTCCTATTGGACTATTAAGCATTTACCATATGTTCCTAAACACAAATTTTTCGACTATCAAAATTGTGAGCAGAGCGGTTTGCGGAAGATCCGGAATCCCGTATAAATTTGTTAGGTTTGCTTAAAATCATAGCTAAAATTGTTTTATCGATATAATATAATCGCACAGTCGAAAGAAGAGAGATAGATTACGTACCGTCTGGAGTGTCGCTGGCTTTCAGAGAAAACGACCAATTTTCGGGATTGACGGAAGCGCAGTGAGGCATTTTGAGTTGGATCGGAACGTCGAAGTGCAATCCGGGGGGACCGCACATGACCAATGGACTGAGTAGAGTTTCTCCTGAAACAAAATCGAGAGTTTAGTCTATACGCGCGAACGAAGACTCAACGGAAGTACCTTTATCTCGATCCAGGGGAGGCATCATCTTGTCCTCTCGACACACTTTGAAGAAGATCTCTTGTTCCTTTCCTTCGGGGAGTGCTCCAGGCGGAATAACAATGCAGACTCCCGTTTCCTCGGATGATAAAGTTCCTCCGGTGTGATCGAAGATTCCTCTGGCCGTTGCCACCACATTGCGTTCGATGTCGGAGGAAGCCGGAGACGGCGATCTGTTGGACAAACATTTACGAGTATTAAAAATAACCAGACTAAAATGTTATTCTCGAAATTTCAGGCCCGATGCGATATGGCATCTGACTCCAATGGATGTATTTGTTTTACAATTGCAACTCGGATTTATCGAGTATTTGTGACAATAAAATCAAAACGTTTAAAAAAATCCTTCTATATCCCAATTATGAAATTCAACAATCTCTTGTATATAGTCTATTCTACAAATACCATAGGCTGACTATTTAGGAAAAAAGCAATCTAATAGTAATAGGTAAACAATAAAGTATAATTTCCACACCATTAATCTAAAGAATTTTGAGCAGCGTGCCAACTTTACACACGTAAAATCTTTAACAGAAATGGCGAGCTATTTTACATTCTCAGTTAATTTCAGTTTTTGTTTTGTCTTAGGATTCTACAAACAGAAACCAGACGCACTCCAGTGGGCCAAAAAGTAATTAAAACCCAATATGGATGGCTTTTATGCTGTTATTTAACTTTATTTACAGGAGACTTTACGTTGTTGGAAATAACCGAAAAACTAGCACATCGTTTTGGGGTAATGAGTGTAGAATTTTCCGTGAATATTTAATATTTAAAGTAATAAGATTATTCAAATTATTCAAACCAAGTGAATAAAAAATAATTTATGGTGTACAATTTCCGTGAAAATTTTGCTGCAATAGTCAACCAGAGATTTTGTTAAAATATGATATCCCTTACAATTTGGATCCGATTTATTGTATACAAGCAATGGTTTTTCTTTATCTACAAATGCATCTAAATTGGTGTCAGGATTTCTACTACTATATGCCAGTTTTAATTTCCCACCGCACGTTGGAATTGACATGATTCCGCGCCATATCGTTGATGTAACAAGCTAAGCGGCGCAGAAAAGTTAAACGCTGTTCAACTCTTTTCGGTTACTTTTCGGTTGACATGAATCGAAAAAATTTTGCCTGTCCAGTTTCGGCGCTCTTTTTACACCGGTCCAGTCGTAACTTAAAGCACTCAAAATTCTTTGAGCTCTAATTCCTTGCGTTAAAGCATTTACTTTACGTGTACTCATTAAAAACTTTCGTTGTGGTTATCCGATAATTTCAATTAGAAGGAACGATTTCGTGCCCATCTTTCGGTAATTCTGTCAGACTGCTAAATTCGTAAAATATCAACCAGAGGGAAACTGCGGCAGCAGCGAGCATCCGAAAGGAATTGTTGGACTAATAGAGGTAGCAAATACAAGTATTTTCACCATAATGATTTTCTATTTATAATAGAGATTTGGATTCGAATTCGAGACCAGATTAAATTTTCGTAAGTGGTTTGTGCTCAAAATATTGAGCACAATCTTTCAATTCCTGTTACCCTACTTTCAGCGACACGACGATTGGATGGCCGAGTGATTAATTAAAATGGTAGCGTACCGCTCTGCACCTCATCACCTCTGTGGTAAGGAACAGAACCGATCTGACAGGATCGGTTTCTGTTCCTTACCATCTGACATATTGTCGGCCTGGCAAACTCACGAACTTGAATTAAAAGACACTATTTAGTGCCCACAGAGCAGAAAATGTCCAAAAAAACTTCCAATTGTCAACTCGAATCGAATCCAGTTATTTTAGTGCTCATAGCGCTCAAAACTTTACTGAAATCAAATCGAACCGGGCTGAAAGCTATATAACTAATTTCGATGGCCTGGAAACATTTTTGGGGGTTTGCTAAGGTAAGAAAAATAAAAATTGTAATATTCCAATAATTTTTTACTTTCCCAGCTGTTATTTACTGTATATAACACGGGAAAGTATTGGAATCCTGTCAAATTTGACCCTCTGAAATTTTTGAAAATCTCCACGTTTTGAGACCTCTTAAGCCCAAAAATATCAAAGAGGAAAAAATTCCAAAGATATGTATGTACGAGTATATGTGTGTTGGAGTCCATTTCGTTTAATATCGGAAGATGGGTAAAAATAAGAAACGAAATTTCGCACGGTAACTTATATGTAAGGGAAATTGATGCTATTAAATTTTGGTAGTTAAAGGTCGAAAGGGTGGGCAGATAGAGAGAGGGTCATATGTCTCGAGTGGGGTTCCGACTTAATGAATATTTTATTTGTTATCTGCATTTATATTTTAAAAAAATAAATAAAACTTGTCACTGCCCTAAAAATTAAGCCTTTTGTCGTTTTATAATAATTAATAATATTAAAAAAATTAGCTAAAATCATAGTTAAAATAGATTTTATTTGATATAAATAGATTTAAAGAGGGAAAATGTTAATTCTAGATATCCAACATAAGCGATCCTGTCTACCCGCAAGAATCGGGTGGTTTGAACTAAGAAATTTAAACTGGTAACTTAATTATTGTTTCAAAATATTTTATTTATCGTTAGACACGACGCGTGAGATACGACCGCATTTGCTTTGCGTATTACAAATCCATTGCTTCTGTCAATTTAGAAGATCTAGATAGATTCAAATTTGAAAACATTTTGAATATTGTCTGGAACCTTTGGACATCAGTCAATATTTCATATCGATTACTTATATACATTACTCTCCTCTCTGTGAGCTAGTCCACAGGTGCCGGAGTGGATAAAACTATTGAACACTAGTTGTAGTTCGCGTGCCTGGCTGTCTACGTGTAGTTTTTCGGATTTTATTCATGTATCTAATACCTAAATTGGAGGCAGTAGACTTTCCCATAGAAAAACCTTTCGGGAAGCATTACCCTTGGCAGATCGTCCAAATGTTTGCGTTGCCGTATTACACCAAATTTTAGTGCAGGGTCTCAAATTCAAATGCAGCGAAGGGCCATTCAAATAGTTGTATATCAAATGCGAGCAGTATTTTTAATTACAGTATGTTTTGATTTCGGTAAACCAAAACATATTGTAATTAAAAAAAGACTCGAACAAAGGCCCTTTTATTGCCAAGCCTTTACGACTGACGTTTGAATTTTTATGCTTTAATTTCCGCGAAATGTCAGAAATACTGATTTTTAGTAAAGAAATCATTAAGACCGCCGACCGATATGAAACCTTAACGGGACATATCCGGCCCGCGGATCGCCAGTTTGCGACTCCTGCGTGAACAGGATTTAAAGAGTAAAAAAAATCATTAAAATTCTTGTACGCATATTAGTGAGGTTGAGGCCGAAGTTTTAAACGCGAAAACGTGTACGTCGAACGTTCAGCGCCGCTTTCCTGTAATGCATGAGGCGCGGCAACGAAAAGCGGCGGGATGACGTCACTTTTTCTCGCCGTAGAAGTCGATTTTGTGCCGCTTTTCTCGTGCCGCAAAAGTTGGTTGAATTTTATCTTTTGCAACAACCGCCGCCAAGACGCGTTTCTATCAGCCAATAACAGTTCCTCCGGTAGTCACGTGAGAAAATACAATCGCGCGGTGTTTTAATGGCAGAATGTTCGACGCGGTTAACCGAGATAACTAACATCAGAATAAAGAGGAAAGGATAATAAATTTAACACAAATTCTACACGAATACTCATATATAATTTAATTCAAGGAACAAAAGAACCGAATCTTACTCGAAATAGTATTCTTTATCGAGGAATAAGCGTATTTTGTACACCAGTTCTTTATCGATCCAAGAAAATATCTTTAATCCAAAATCTTCGTTCGAATCTTCTAACTAAATAAAGCAAGCCGTACAAAACAAAATTTGTAAACACATGGATAGCGACAATATCGGTATCGTTCGCCATCTTGAATATTGAACGCATGCGCCGAAATGTAAGCGAATTGCTGACGCGCAGCGAAGATGCATTTGCGACACTGCTTTTCCTTGCCGCGCTGCATGTGTGCATCCGGCTTTACACGTTTTCGCGTTTAAAACTTCGGCCTCAACCTCGCTATTAAGGACTATAACCCAAAAATACTTCTAACTTAGAAATCAGAAGGATTGATTTTTAAGTCAACTGACGACGAAAATTTTAATTAAGAATTTTGAAATTACGTAAATATTATAAAAGTAGTAATTAAAGCATATAAATACCTAAAAATAGAGACAACACGGATTAATTAATATCACTCTATGACAGTGTTTTTCAACCTGTGGGTCGCGACCTCCCGGGGTTCGCAAAGCCATACACGGGGGTCGCGGGTTAAAGAAAAAGACAAGTGTTTGTAGGTCCTACACTACAATAAAAAAAACTACAATTTCAGTGAGAAGGCTGTGCCTGTTTATTTTACAGTACAATTCGTTTTTTGATCGATATTTAAATCTCAACAGAAAGAAAATTAAATACTGTAAAAGAAAATCACTGACATAGTTTTAATATGGCCGTGGGGGGTCGCCAGAATTTTTTAACTTGTAAAGGGGTCGCGTATTCAAGAAGGTTGAAAAACACTGCTCCACGAGATCGAGCGAACGAAATTCAATTTCGAAATTGAAATTAAAGCCGAATTTCGAAGTACGAAAGAAATTATAAATAATTTTTCATAGTTGGAAATTTTCCAAAATATTTTATGCACACGATGAAAATCAACGAAACATTACGAAAATTCCCATGCGATCCCATTTCTATCGCAATCGCATAGTTTATAATGTGTCTTTTCGCGAGTTAGTTTATTGACGTGACTTGGAATTACTCCTTTGTATTGTTATTTTTTAAGCAAATCTTCCTGGATAACTGATTGCTTTACATTGCTAAGCATCTTAGCAAAAGACTCGTGCGCCGGATTTTCAAAGGCTGGTGTTTTTAAAAAGCATTATTTTTACATAACGTATTTTATTCATTTTTAGAAAACAAATGTGTATAATAGACTAAGAAGGAATTGGACAAATAAAATTTACAAAATTATAAGCTATATATAATATACTGTATAGTTTTGTAATTCTTTTCAAATGGGATTTGTGCACATTGCAAACCTTGCTTAGCAATATTGTTACATATTTTTTTGTTAATAATTCTAAACAGAAAGAAAACAGAATTTTACATAATCCGAATAATAGAATCGCACGATTTTTAACGTTG